ACTGAGTGGCAGAAAAACACTTAAAGAAATATTCAACTTCCTTACTCATCAGGGAGATGCAACCCTGAGATTCTACTTTATACCCATCAGAATGACTAAGATGAATAACTCACGTGACAACACATGTTGGAGAGGATGTGGAGAAAGGGGAACCCTCTTCCATTGCTGGTGGGTATGTACATTTGTACAACCATTTTGGAAATCAATCTGGTACTTTCTCAGACAATTAGGAATAGTGCTATCTCGAGATCCAGCCATACCACTCCTAGGCGTATATCCAAAAGATGCTCAAGTACACAACAAGGACATTTTCTCAACCATGTTTGCAGCAGCTTTATTTGTAATAGCCAGAAGCTGGAAACAACCCAGATGCCCCTCAATTGAGGAATGGATACAGAAATTGTGGTACATTTACACAATGGAATACTACTCAGCAATTAAAAACGAGGAAATCATGAAATTTGCAGGCAAATGGTAGGATCTAGAAATGATCATCCTGAGTGAGCTATCCCAGAAGCAGAAAGATACACACAGTATGTACTCATTTTTATTTTTAATTATGTGTACTCGAATGTCCGTTTGTGAGTAAGTGCATGTGAGTGTGTTGGATCCCCTGGATGTAAGCTGCCATGTGGGTCCTGGAAACCAATTCAGGCCTACAAGAGCAGGAATTGCTCTTAACCACTGAGCCATCTCTCCAGCCCATTGTTTCTGGTTGTGTAGATAGGCTTACCTTAACCTTATGATTTTCCTGTCTCGGTCTCCTGAATGCTAGAGTTAAAGCTGTAATTTATTGACCTAAAAAATACCCTTAACAATATATGCATAAGCCAGGAATGGTGATGCCCATACTTCTAAAACTCAGGTGGTAGAGGTAAGTGGATCTTTGAGTTGAGAAGACAGCCTGCTCTACAGAGTAAGTTCCGGACCAGCCAGGGCTACACAGTCAGACCATGGCTTTAAAAAAAAAAAAGAAAGAAAGAAAGAAAAGAAAAGAAAAGAAAAAAAAAAGCAGCATGAATTTCAGCGCTTGGGAGAGGCTGAGTCAGATGTAACACAATGAGCACAATGAGTTCAAGGCAAGTCTTGGGCTCATGAGACCTTATCATAAAATTCAAATAATAAAAAGAACAACAATGTTATAAAAAAAAAAACATGTTTATGCCAGGAATTGTATTTTATTCCACATCCAACTTTCCTTTGAAACTTAATTTGACCATTTTTTTAAGCTTTTAATTGTATGTATCTGAGTGTTTTGCCTGTACGTGTGCATATGCATCTCTTCTGTGCCTGGTGCCCTTTGAGGCCAGAAGAGAGAGTGAGACCACTGGAATTGGAGTTATATATAGCTGTGAGCTGCATGTGGATGTTGGGAATTGAATCTAGATCCTCTGGAAGAGCCACTATGCTCTCAAACATCATCACTCCAGCCCCATGAGTTTAACTTTATAGACTTCAAAATTTTGAAAATTACTACTCTATTGTGTTTGAAACATGTTAGTCAGCAAATTGTTATTTTCTTCATATTTTCACACATTGCACTTTTTCTCTAACTTCTTGATAGCATTACTATCACAGTCTTATTTATTGCCTCTACTCTGTAAGAAGATGGTGCTATCTTCCTGCAGTCACATGGATTTTGAGAATCTGCATCACCAAGCTCACAAAATTGGTGATGTGATTTACTCTAGCCAGTAAATGTCAAAAATATCAATAAATCACGAAGGCACCAGCTCAGATGTATCTATAACACATAGCTTCAGCTTCTGCCTGAGAATAAGCACAGGTTAAGGGGCTGTGGGTAGGCATCCATCTCCAAGTGAGAAGATTGCTGGTGCAGCACAGCCTCCATCTTTCTCTGTCCTATGTTCTCAGAATCAAAATCAGCTAACTCGAATGAGACATTTTTGCTTGAAGCCCTTGAGAATTGGATTCATTCATTCATCGATTATTTTTCTAACAAGACCTTGCTACAGAACCTTCACTAGACTTGAATGCACTCCCTGTCCCAGCCTCTGTAATGCTAGAATTACAGATGTATACCTCCACAGCTATCTGGGAGATAATTTTATGACTCAAGGATAATATTTGAGATTGGCTTGTCAATCCAAAATGTTTTCCCCTTTGTTTGCTGCACTTCTTAACTTTAGTTGTAAACTTCACACTTTCTGATTTTCACTGAATTCTTCCTGAGCAGTGAATTCCTTTAAGACATTATTTTCAGACACTAATTAATTATTTTCAAGCACTAATCATTAGTTTAATTTCTAACTGAAATCAGGTTAAAAAGCCATGGGTGGGGCTGGATAGACTGCTCAGTGGTTAACAGTGTAACCTTCTCTTACAGAGGACCTGAGTTTGATTCCCAGCACCCACTTTGGGCAGCTCAAAATTTCCTAGACTCCATTTCCATGGGGATCTGATGCCCCTGGCCTCCATGGGCACTGGCAATCAACCACACACATATTGCCACATGCACACACATACTTTGGAAACAAGACATAAAATCATTTTTTAAAAAGACCCCATTTCTCTGCATTTCTCACATACAGAACTGCTTCTAGATTTATTTTTATTTTATCCTTTTAGCAAGGATTACTGATGGATTTTATTTAGAAAAAAAATTAAACAATTTTTACAAAATATTTATATCACATGTGACATACTTTATAATGAAGTGTTCTCTGTCTCTTCCTCTCTGGCTTTTTCTCTCTTTGCCCTTCCCCTATCAATGTTCTAATCTTAACATAATAATTACTGTTGGCCCAAAATGAATAAGATAAAGTAGTTAGGCAAGGTGGTCAAAAGAGATACAAATTATATAAATTGTTACATGGCAACTTATCCCCAACAGGTAATGAATCAGTATTTTCCAATATAAATATATGAATTTTTAAAAAATAATTAAAATTTAAAATTTTCCTTTTAAAATTTATTTATTACATTTTAAAAATTTTATTTTTTATATTATTTACAGTTTATTCATTTTGTATCCCAGCTATAGCCCCCTCCCCAAACCCCTTCCAATCCCAACCTTCCTCCCTCATCTCCCATGCACTTCTCCCAGTCCACTGTTAGAGGAGGTCCTCCTCCCTTTCCATGTGACCTTAGCTTAATCAGGTCTTTATTTTATGATTATGCCCTATTTACTTATGGAATTAATCACAATGACAATGGATTTGTTCTGTCAAGTTTTTCACTTTTTCTAAAACTTATGTTATTAAATATAATAAATCATAAATTACATATTTTGATGGATTTCACCTTATGTTTACATTGACAGTGACTGAACCCAGGGCCTGGAACATGCTAGGCAAGTGCACTACTCCAAGCTCATCCCCAGCCCTCAGCTTGCCCCTCTGCCACTGAGACATGGCACAGCCCAGCACAAGTACTTGTTCAAACAAATATTCTTCCCCAAATAACTGCCTTAAATTATTAACTTGGTTAATAATCATTTAAGAATTTCTGATCTATGGGTTTATTTTATTTGGACTCCCAATTATATTCCAATTACCCATCTACCAAATACCCTATCCTTATTCCAGTCTTGGTAACCGTAGCTTTTTAATAAGTTTAAGGAACAAAATTGAAGGTTTCAACTTTCTTTCTTTCATTCTTTCATTCAAAATGTGACTGTCAGGTCTGGCAGGAACCAAGTAGAAGGTTGGAGAGGATGACATTCAGAAATAAGCCGCTAAGGCAGAATGCAGTGGCGCGGTGCCTGTGTCTCCTGGCCACTCTGGAGGCTGAAGCCAGAGGGTTTGTTGAATCCTGAAGTTGGAGGCCATTGGACAAAACACAGGAGATTGGGGACAAACACGAGAGCCGTGGTTTCGCTGCTAAAACTGTAGCTTTGGCTGTGCTAAGAATACAATACAGAAGCCAGGCATGGTGGTACATGCCTTTAATTCCAGCATTCAGGAAGGCAGAGGTGTGAGTTCAAGGACAACCCGGTCTACAAAGAGAGTCCAGGATAGCCAAAGCTACACAGAATTGCTAGAATTCAAAGTAATCATTTTCCCAGTGAGGTGCAGCAACAGCCTAACTTTCTTCTTTTTAAACATTGTTTTGACTATTTTGAATTATTTAAAATTTCACATGAATTTCAGATCACTGTGTTAATTGCTGAATGCATGAACACACATACAAACCATCTGGATACTGATATAGATTGTGCTAATCTGATGGTGTACATTTTTTCTGTCCACCTCTGCTTTCATCTCTTCAATGTTTTGCATGTAAATAACAGGTTGTACTTGCATAAGCTTTGACAACTTGCTTGCTTCAGCTACTTAAATATTTGTGTTTAAACAAACCACCCCAGGGGCCCATGTCTTTTCTTATTCACAATTTTCTGTTCTCTGTCACCCTGTATTTCAAGTTTGTAGTTTGCTTGTTTTAAATAAAAAGCTTGATGTTAGATTATACAAGTGATTTGAAACAAGAGCAAGTGGTGCGAACAACAAAATCCTTTTGCACCTGCTTTTCATGTTGCTTGTGGTTACCAATCTCCTATGTGCATTCCTCATGTTTTCTACTCAATCTAATTTGCTGCTAATTCTATCAATCAACTTCTATATCTACTATTTGGAATTTTTTTTGTGTGTGTATATAGATGTGTATGTACATGCATAAGGAAGTTCATGTTTTCCTTTCTAAGATTTATTTTTTTTATTTATGTGTGTATGAATCTACATGTATGAAAGTTCACCATGTGTGTGCCTGGAACCCTCAGAGGCCAGAAGAGGACTTTGGGAACTGAACCCAGGTTCTTTGAAAAAGGAAGAACTTTTAACTGCTGAGCCATCTCTCCAGCTCCCAATCACTTCAGTCACCCAAGCAATATACTTGGTTTGCAGGAATACACCTGGTGTAATTTTTTTCCTCCCCTATTCTGCTTATAACAATCAAGAAAAGTTTTTTCCCTAGAGGAGTAGGTAAAAAAGAAAAAAAAAATTAAATTCTATCACCAAGAATCTATTTTTAAAATTTTAAGTTAGGGGAGAGCATGACTGCAGTACCCTAGAACCACAACTTATGCTGTGGAGTTTCCTCAGTTATGAGAGCTCTCAGGGGACAGCACACCCCAAATACAATGGACGAGCCTTGCCCTAGGAAACCCACATTCTTGTCCATGGTTTCTCCCCAGCCAACAAAGTACACAACTTATTCTTTAGGTAACCATTTGATGATGAAAAACCTCTTTTTTTATATATAAAATTTTCAAATATTTATTTATTATTATTTATACAGTATTCTGACTGCATCTGCAGGCAAGAAGAGGACACCAGATCTTACTATAGATGGTTGTGAGCCACCATGTGGTTGCTGGGAATCAAACTCAGGAACTTTGGGAGAACAGCTAGTGCTCTTAACCTCTGAGCCATCTCTCCAGCCCAGAAAGGACTTACTACAATCCAGAACTTTGTTTAGTTTCTCTTTTTTTTTTTTTTTTCTTGTTTCGAGTAGCTTCTGCAGGGTTAAACTACTCAACTCCTGCCCACCACCATCAATAGAATTCCACAATGATCGTCAGCAAAATAAGCTCCAGCATTTCACGTTTCTAAAGTGAAGACCTTTGGAGATTCTAAAATGTTCCATCTTCTATCACATGACCATTTCACTGGTCTTTAGCAATAAAAATATGTGAGCCTGCCCTTTCACACCAGTTCAAAATAGCTTCTGGAACCATGAATATTTTTTCATTAAAAAGTGCTGTCATTTTGGCATACTCTCCATTCTTACCTAATCAACCATGCAGGTTTTGACACACCCAATTCTCTCTTATCTATCAAGACTCAGATATAGTTCTCATTTCCATATTTCCTGTGCTACCAGTTTAATTAACTAAGATGACTTACTGTTCTCCATCTCCTAGATGGACAGCCTATTAATAGCTTCCTGCCACTTTTGTCCCCACACAATCTACTTTGTCATAAGGACCACAGTGATCTTTTAAAAATAAAAATGTCACAGTGTATCTCTAAACCTGCGCTTTAATTTTTGCTAAATTCCACACTATTTAACATGGTCTACAGATTCTAGTCTGCCTTCATACTTACCTTCTTATAGGGCTATGAGCAAACTGACTTCTCAGGGTCTCAAATATGCCAGTTGTTGCTTCTTTTTCAGGTCCTTGACACTTCACTGACTCCTTTTCCTGGACTATGTTCCCTGCTTTTTGCATGTTTCATTCTTATATTTCTGATTTCACTCAGAGGCCCACTCTGACTACCTAATCTGACATCAATCTGTTTATTTTTTTAGAGCTTTTATTATTATCATCTATGAGTGATTACTGTTAATTATTGGGGGTTTATTTTAATGTTTGTTCCCAAATTATTAGACAGTTTCAAACCATCTTATCTAATGTCTAGGGACTAGCAGTGTCTGGAACACAGCAGCATCAGTGAGTAAGTTACTCAGCTGACCCACAGGAGAAGCACTAATGGAATTAGAAATTGCACATCCAGCACAAAATCAGAACCAAGGACAGAAATGATGGCATGAAAACAGCCTCGATCATGCTAATCCTCTAGCTCTAGTCCTTTTCTATTTTAGGGTAGGGTCTTATGAAATTGATCAGGGTAGCCTTGAACTTGAGCTACTCTTGCTAGCTTCTCCCAAGTAGCTGGGATTATACAGGCCTGTGCAGTTAGAAGAGTATTTTTATATGTCTGTTACAAAAATTATTTCAGATAGACATTACCTTAGAAATAATGTTAACAGAGTGGGCAAGATAGCTTAGCAAGTAAAGGTGTTCACTGTGAAGCCTGAGAAACTGTGTTCTACCCTCAAGACTTACATGGAAAGGAGAATCAACTTCTTCAACTTGTTCTTTGACCTCTACACTTGCATAATTACATGAGTGTGTTTGCCTACATACACACACACACACACATACACACACACACACACACACACACACACACACACACACACAAAATAAATGTGGTTTTAGGAATAAAATCCTACTGTCTAATCTTCATAAAAATATGCTTCCTTTCCCATAGTAGCAGTACAGGCAGAAAACTGTACAGGCTTTAAGTCATTTAACAGGATATACTTGAGGCAGGTAGTGACTGAAAGCCCATTATAGACAGTCCCTTTTGTTCAAACAATCGCTAGCAGTTTTTCTTTCTATGACTGTATGACTTCTAAGATCATACTCCTATTTAAGGTAACCTTCCTTCATTGTACTGTTACTCAAATACTTAACTTTTGAGGCCTCTCCAAAAAAGTTTAACAGCAGAAAAAGACCCCCTTACATTCCTAACTGTACCACTATAATTAAAGTGATTTAGAGCTGGGACATCTTCTAGCCTAACTTAATAGGGTAAAGGGATGAATCTGTGGTAAAATGCAAGAGAATAATATTAGAATGAGCATATCAAGAAAGCCTGTCCATAGTAACTTTTTCATTCCTTTTGCATTTTCCCACAAGTTTTAGTCAGCAAATAACATTTTGACACTGATAGTATTTATTATATTATTACTTAAAATTACTCCTCAGGTTGACACCATCAAATATATTTCCAAAAAATTTCAAATTGGGTATAATTTATTTATACTCAAAATTGTATGAAATAAACCCTCAAGTTTAAGAAAACAAGTAATAACATACAATCAATGCAAACTATCAGCAGAAAGATGCTGACCAGGAGGTGTTACCTTTGTGGCTGTGTGCGTATTTTCACCTTCCATCCGCAGATCCTATTCATGGTAATACAAGCCATCATTAATCACTTTGGCAAGCTCTGATGTAGTTTTCGCTCATGATACATGGGTGCCTGTTCGGCCTCTTTCAAGATGCTTTCTCATATAAGGTGGTGTCAGAGTTACAATCAAAATCTTCCTTAAATCCTGGTCATTGATTTCATACTCTGAATCATTATCAGACCAATCAGTAAACATGTTTTTCCTTCTTTCTGTTTGTTCTATCTCTTCATTAAACAAAAAATCAAGCTCTTCTTATTCTGATTCTTCTTGAAAGGTTAGCTGATTTGATGTCTCTTCAGGAACACATATTGAACCCTGAAGAAACAAAGTAGTATTTCATATATAATATTAAAAAATTCCTACATTAAGTCTTTTATTTATTTTAGTGTTTTTTTTTTAAGGACAAATGTCATAAAAGTATGTGACATTCAGGTATCCTCAGGGCACAAAACTTCCAAGAAATCTAAGACACTAAACCTAAGAATAATAGGACTAGAAGAAGGAGAAGACTCTCAGCTCAAAGACCCAGAAAATATTTTCAACAAAATCATAAAAGATAACATCCCCAACCTAAAAAAAAAAAGAAGAGAGAGAAAGAGAGAGAGAGAGAGAGAGAGAGAGAGAGAGAGAGATGCTGATGAACATACAAACTTACAAAACACTAAATAGATGGGGTCAGAAAAGAAAATCTTCCCACCACATAATAATCAAAACACTAAATGTACACAACAAAGAATATTAAAAGCTACAAGAAAAAAGGTTAAGTAATATATAAAGGCAGACCTACTAGAATTACATCTGACTTCTCAACAGAGACTCTAAAAGCCAGAAGGGCTGGACAGACATATTGTAGACTCTAAGAGACCACAGATGTCAAACCAGACTACTATACCCAGGAAAATATTGATCACCATGGATGGAGAAAGCAATATATTCCATGACAAAAAGCAAATTTAAACAGTATCTACCCACAAATCCAGCCCTATAAAAAATACTAACCTAAAAAGATACCAACCTAAGGATATTAACTACACCCAAGAATACACAGGAAATAACCCATGCCAGGAAAACCAAAAGAAGCATGCAAGCATACACATGCACACACACACTACCATCACAAACAATAAAATAACAGAAATTCATAATCATTGGTGACACAGGAGACAAATTCCTGAACAGAACACCAACAGCTCAGGCTCTAAGATCTACAATTAATAAGTGGGATCTCTTAATACTGAAAAGCTTCTGTGAAGCAAAAGACACTACTGACAGAATGAAATGGCAGTCTACAGATTGGGAAAAGATCTTCACCAATCCTACATCTGACAAAGGGCTAATGTCCAGAATATATAAAGAACTCAAGAAATTAAATACCAACAAGACAAAATAATACAATTTAAAAATGGGGTACAGAGCTAAACAGAGGACTCTCAAATGGTGGAGAGGCAGTTAAAGAAATGTTCACCGTCCTTAGTCATCAAGGAAGCACAAATCAAAACAACACATGCTGGCAAGGATGTAAAGAAAGGGAGTGCAGACTTGAACAACCACTGGGAACAGCCGTACCTCAAGACCCAGCTATACCTCTCCTGGGCATACATGCAAAAGATGCTTATCATACAACAAAAACATTTCTGCAACCATGTTCATGGCAGCTTTATTCATAACAGCGAGAAAATGGAAATAATCTAATGTCCCTTAACCAAAAATGGATAAAGAAACTGTGGTACATTTACACAATGGAATACTGCTCAGCCATTAAAAACAAGGAAATCATGAAATTTGCAGGTAAATTGATGGAACAAAAAAAGATTATCCAGAGTGAGGTAACACAGACTCAGAAAGACACATATGTATATTCTCAGTTATAAGTAAATTTTAGTCATATAGTACAGGATGGACATGCTACAATGCAGATACCCCAAGAAGATAAGTCCAATGGACATCTTAGGCTTCATGTTGGCCCACTAGTTAAGGGGGTGGGAGATATCTTTGACACAGACTATGTTGCCTGACACAGACTAAGTCCCCCTGATGGGACTTCCCTACAAGGCTACAGGGGAGGAAGTTGAACTCAGTCCTCATGTGAATAGATAAGCTGGGGTGTCTGGGTATGGGAGGGCTCTCCAGGGAATAGGAGAGGGAATGAGGGAGGTAAGGCGAGACTGGGATGAGAAGAGGGAGGGGCCTATGACCAAGATTTAAATTAAATTATTTAATAAATAAACCATTGGTCATTAATATCTCTCAACATCAATGGACTCAAACCCCGAATAAAAAGACACAGGTTAACAGAATGGATACAAATACAGGATCCAATTGTACTGCATAAAAGAAACACACCTCAGCAACAAAGATAAGACATTATCTCAGAGTACAGGGCTGGAAAAAGGTTTTCCAAGTAAAAGGACCCAAGAAGCAAGCTGGAGTAGCCATTCTAATAACTAATGAAAGATTTTCAACCAAATTAATCAAAAGACATGGGGAAGGACACTTCATACTTAAAGAAAAAAAAACCATCAAGATGAGGTCTCAATTCTGAACAACTATGTGCCAAATGCAAGGGCAGTGACATTTGTAAAAGAAACATTACTAAGGCTTAACTCACACATCAATCCACATACAGTAATAGTGGGAGACTTCTACACCCCACGCTCACCAATGGATAGGTCTTTGAGACAGAAATTAAACAGAGCAATAGTGAAACTAACCAACACTATGAATCAAATGATCATAATAGATATCTATAGAACATTTCACCCAAACACAAAAAATATATACCTTCTCCTCAGAACCTTACAAAACCTTCTCCAAAATTGACAAAATTGTCATCGCAAGGCAAGCCTCGACAGATACAAAAAAAATTAAAATAACTCCTTGTATCTTATCAGACCACTATGGATTAAAGCAACTTCAACAACAAAAACAGGAAACCTACAAACTCATGGAAACTGAACAACTCTCCACTCAATGACCACTGGCTCAGAGAATAAAATAATTAAAGACTTTCTAGAATTCCATGAAAATGAAGGCACAACATACCCAAACTTATGAGATACAACGAAAGTAGTGCTACAAGAAAAGTTCACAGCACTAAGTGCCTTCATAGAGAAATTGGAGAGATCTCATGCTAGCAATTTAAAAGCACACCTGAAAGCACCAGAACAAAAAGAAGCAAATACACTCCAAGAGCAGACCTCAGAAAATAATCAAACTCAAGGCTGAAATCAATAAAATAGAAACAGAATTAAAAAAAAAAAAAAAACCCAAGAGCTGTTTTTTTTTTTTTTTTTGAGAAAACCAACAAGAAAGACAAGCCCTTATCGAAACTAACTAAAAGTCAGAGAGAAAATATCCAAATTAACAAAAAATCAAAGATAAAAGTGGGGAAATTACAACAGACAGTGAGGAAATTCAAAGAACCACTACAGGTCTTACTTCAAAAGCCTGTATTCTATAAAACTGAAAAGTCTAAATGAAATTGATGATTTCCTTGATAGATACCACTTACCAAAGTTAAAACAAGATCAGGTAAACAATTTAAATAGATCTATAACCCACAAAGAAATAAAAGCAGTCATCAAAACTCTCCCTACCAAAACAAACAAACAAACAAACAAACAAACAAACAAACCAGGGCCAGATGGTTTTAGTGCAGAATTGTACAAGACTTTCAAAGAAACCCATATGATCATCTCCTTACGTGCTGAAAAAGCCTTTAACAAAATCCAAAAACCCTCCATGATAAAAGTCTCATAAATATCTAAAAAACAAGGAGTATACCTAAACACAATAAAGGCAACATATTTTACAGCAAGCCAAAACCCAACATTAAAAGTAAAGAAACTTAAAACAATTCCACTAAAATCGAGGAAACACAACAAGGCTATCCACTTTCTCTGTATTTATTCAATATAGTACCTGAAATTCTAGCTAGAGCAATAAGCAACTAAAGGAGGTCAACGGGATACAAGTTAGAAAGGAAGAAGTCAAAGTATCGTTATTCTCAGATGAGATCATTGTATATGCAACTGACCTCCAAAATCTACTAGAGAATTCCTACAGCTGATAAAACACCTTCAGCAAACACTAAAAAAAAAAAAAAAAATCAGTAGGCCATCTTTATATATAAGTGATAAATGGGCTGAGAAAGAAATTAGGAAAACACCTTTCACAATAGCCACAAGTAATATAAAATATCTTGGTGAAATTCTAAGAATGCAAGTGAAATACTGTATGACAATAACTTCAAGTCTTTGATGAAAGAAATTGAAAAAGATATCAGAAGATTGAAAGATTTCCCATGCTCAAACATCAGCAGGATTAACATAGTAAAAGTTGCTATCTTACCAAAAGCAATCTAAAGATTCAATACAAAATTCCAACACAATTCTTTACAGACCTTGAAAGAACAATTCAACTTCATATGGGGGAAAAAAAGCTTACTGCTAGTCTTCCTTTAGTCTGCACACAGGAAACCCCCACCCCCAGTTCTCTTCCTTTCCCTAAGGACTTGGCCTCTTGGTATATACTAAGGGTCCTTTTAATTTTCCCCATCAACTCTCTCAGAATTTGTTTTTCACAATTTTCTCTTTGTGTGTGTGTGTGTGTGTGTGTCACGGATGACCTGCAAAACACCTTTCTACCAGGGAGCTCATATCTACCACACTTGGCTGAGACCGAGAACTGTTCTTTACCAGGGACCCCACAGCCAAGGCACTTGATTAGGACCCAGACTGGGCAACAGCAACCAAAGAGTGAAATACTTTTGAGACCAGAAAGTTCCACCAAGAAAATCCTCAAACACTGTAACTCCAGATGCCTAGATCCCAGGCTGGGCTGGGTCGCTCCACCAGGAAGAAGTGATCAAGAAGCAGGCAACTGAGTTCATGTCAGAGACTGTCTCCTCTTCTCTTACTAGGGAACCCAAATGGAGACTGAGCTTCTATAGGAAACATCTGATCAGTGGGTCTAGGTCCTTAGGTCCTCTCTATGTATGGTTTTTGGTTGATGCATCAGTCTTTGCAGTCCCCCTGGGCCCTGTTTTGTTTTTGTTTTTTTTTTTTTGGCTTTATTGGTCTCCTTGTGTGGCTCCTGTCCTCTTCAGGTCCTTTTAAACCCCCATTTTTCCATAAGACTCCCTGTGCTCTGTCCAAAGTTTGACCATGAGTCTCTGCATCTGCTTTGATATCCTGTTGGGTGGAGTCTTTTAGAGGACATCTGTAGTAGGCTCTAGTCCTGTCTCTTCTCTTCTACTGCTACCAGTGTCTATCCTGTTTTTCCTTCTGAATGAGAATTAAGCATCTTCCCTAGGG